AGAGGTGTCCGTTTTCTAGAGGTCTTCGTTCTATTGCTATGCCTGTATCATAGAGGTGTCCGTTTTCTAGAGGTCTTCGTTCTATTGCTATGCCTGTATCATAGAGGTGTCCGTTTTCTAGTAGCAAGTTTACATTTTCTAGTAGTACCCGTTAGAGGCCCAGTCCATTATATGACATTCTCCGTTCCCCTGGCTGGGAGGGAAGGGGAAGGAGGAGCACATAAAAGAGAAAACCGAACGAAGTTCTACCCCCTAAGCAGTTTTTATTATAGTAACGTCACCAGTGCCTTCAAAGACCTCCATAACAACCAAGCCGTCATTTTGATGTCATTGATTCTTGCTCCATTTTACAACTGTCCATAGAGTTAGTAGTGATAGAAATTGAAAATGCATTAAAAACGTTGGTTTATTTTGCTGTTCTACCGAAGACTATGTTTAGTTAGTCGGAAAAACCCTAACGGAATGGCAAACACTCGTCATTGTCTACAAAAATAGAAAAAAAAACTTAATGCAAATTATAGTCATTTAATATTAATTCTCTACATAAGACGAAATGCTTAGTTGGTTGCCAAATAGCCTTAAAACGTAAAAATCCACTTGAAACTGAGCGACTTAAACATAGTCTTAGGAATAGTTTCGCTGGAAACTGCAGAAACATACACATTGGACATCGATGGCAAAGAAAACTTGTGTTATAATTTGAGCTTCAAAAGGTATTGATCAGCCATCTTTTCTTAGTAGAGATAATTTAGAACATCCCTGTACTTGTTCGGTGCTTTTGAAGTGCATTTTTCTTTAATTAAGGGTTGTAAGCGAAAACAGCTAAACATGAACATGCACATATCCGTTGTTGTTGTAACGAAATAATACGAAAATACTATGAACAGATGTTTAGCCAGTATGAAGGCAGGAAGACCAGCTTGAGTTAAACTAGAACCATCATTAAGAAGTCTTTTGTGCGGCTTATTTACTCGTTTTAATCTCAGGAAAAAAGCTATATGAGAATAGATTTTATCGTGAAACACACAGAATTCCAAACCTTTGTGATAATATATTATCAAAAACACGGTGTATTTTCATGTTGGCTTTAAGTAGTTGATCATTAAATTTCAAACAGTGGCTCCCCAAAGAGATAATGATGACTTTGTTTTCTGGTCAAGTAGACCCATTTGGTCGAAAGCCATTTTTTTTTACACAGACACACGCGCAAAAAAATAGAGTATCACTTCTTAATGAATATCTCTAAGCTTGTCTAATGTATGCTGCTGGCGCGAAACGTTCAACGTTGAAATGGACACCATGACTGGTGGACAGCATTAATGATGATTGCATCTCGCAAAACCAACCTCATTTCGCATCTTTAGGTAAAAAGGACAAGGGTATTTTACTCGTCTTGAAGCCAAAAACTAAGAGGTTTTGTAACCAAGATAAGATGGCGGTAGCTAWAGAAAGAGAGAAATACTCAAATACTGATAAATTGTTTAGAAAATAAACAGGTGGAAATAAAATAAAATAAATACAWTTAATTGTTTTCTTTTTTTTTCTGTAAAGGAACAATTTTTTCATAAGTTTGACTTTTAGAAATAAAAATAGATAAMTTCTTTAACAAAAAATATCCAAAGAGAATCAATAGATATTGACTTTTATCATTTTAAGAAAGTGAGGCTTTATCTATAAACATCAAGATAATTGGTGTCTACAGCAATTAGCGCGATACAAGTTTTAATATCTAAGCATTTTAATACTTGAAAAGGAATGTTCTTGTATCCGTTTTTTGAACAATACAGAATTAATAAWTTCTAACCTTCTAGAACAATTCTAACCTTGTAGAACAAGGTTGCAATTAAAAGATTTTAATAATACGATTTCCTGTGCCTAGGCAACTAAGGAAATATTTATTTTTTTTGATGTTGTAATTTTAGAAATATCAACCTGTGCCTATAGCGAAGTTTAGTTGTGTTTAAAATGGCTTAACACCTTTTGTAAAGTTCTTGTATAGCATCGATAAGGCCTTTAGTTACATTTTTGTTTTTGATCTATCAGGCTATTTTCGTGCCACCGAAGACATAACATTATTAGATAATTCACGGGTTGTTTTTACGATTCGTTTACAGAATCAAGGAAAATAGTTTCTATCGCATAACCACAAGAAACTGATAGCTACATTCTTTATCGATAGTTTTTTCGTATCTCAGTTTGTATTTTCCTTTTAAAATCTCCGATCTTCTTCATGTTGTTAGCTACCACTTTAATTCCTTATTCATTCATTTTCTTTCTTTCTTTTTTTTCTTTCAAGATGAAAAAATCACTTCAGATACATATATCTTTTCTTCCAAGTTTAGTTCCTGAAACCTTTTTTTTTTCCTTCTTTACCTTGATACAGATGATTTGGCCTGAAGCATGATAACGGCAAGAAATGGATACTTAATGGTATTTAATGGCAGCGCTTTTAGAAGTATTCGTTAAAGGATCAGTCTCAGACATTAACTAGATAGTAAGGTAAAAAAAAACGCCGATATCAAATATTTTCACCCGAAGCGATTTCTAAAACAGACTTTCGAATGGCCTTGATATAAGATTCAATTTATAGCCTTTAACATGATACGGATGAATAATTCAGCGGCACTAGCAGAGAGATTTACGTGGTAAATGATCTGAATCTTTTAACTAAAAATCAAACATTTTCTAAGTTTTAGTTTTGAATCAACCGTTATGCTATAAAATAATCGAGTTGGACCCCTCCCCTGTATAAAAAAACGTAAAAACTAAAAAAGGAACATAATTGCCGACTTCAAAGTGCTTTAATATAAAGATAAAACGTCCATCCAAGAAGTGTACATGGTACACGAGCGCGCTAAACGCGTGCAGGAGAGTCTAACGAAGATATAATCACATCAAGGAAACAAAACGAATATCTCGAATAAGCCAATTATTGTTGTTCTTCATAGTATCATAGATATAGATCACTGGTTATCAACTAAGGCATTCTAATAAACAACGTCATGGGATCCGATGTTAGATAAAAACAATAAAAAAACTTACGCAATGTATCTTATAGCCCTATAAAAAAACTTAGATTATTATCATAATTATTAGTTTTCTTTGATTTTCTCCTTACATTTCAATCATTTTCCCACTTGAAATGATTCAGATGGTAGCAGCGCAGTATATTTAAGGCTGATCAAAACTTCTCGAAGCTTTAATCATCGCTGTCAAGGTCAATATCTAAGGATTTACAATAGAATGGAAAATGTTTCGTTGTATTTGAATGACAAATGGATTACAGCCAATCGGATTTCTTTMTAGTCATTTAGGTGCCAGAATGTTTTAGACGGACCACTCTGTGGGGTTTGTATGTTAAATACGGTTAATTCTGGTACAGAATATTCCAGATCAAGGTAAATTTATTCTCGGGGTCACTTCAATACACAAGTGAAATGAGTCATAGCCTGAACTTTAAGGTTAAATGCAACAGCAACATTGCAGGAGCAAGAGCAACGGCCTGARCCACAATAATGACAAAAACTCTGATCATAACATCATGAATATTAGACTGTTTTAAGAAGAACGAAGAATTTCCTAAAGTATTCAGTTCACAATAAGGGAGAATTTTTCATTTCATCTTTAAGCGCACATCTACAAACAAGTCTAGTTGGTAAAAATCCAAAGGTACGGCTACATTTATTCTAAATACCAATTTTCAATAGTTCGTTTTATTCCTCATTTTTAGTTTTTAGTTTTTTCGAGYACTWAGAAACGTAAAAAACGGAAAATTTTATTTTCAATCTCATCAAGTGCACAAAGCGGGACGATATTRTTTAAAATGCTTTCTGGCGGGTGACTTACCCACTTTTTYTCAACTGTTTCCTCGTCGAAGCCTACGGAAACAAGAGCTCGAATTCACAATAGATAAAGACCAAACRGACTCGAATTTTCAGGGCAAATATTTAGTCTTCCGTTYGGTAATGTCACAAAAACCTGTGCAAATTCGCAACTCCCAAAATATCATGAGAAGTCTTTGGGAATTTTGTCTTAGTTTGAACAGCTGATACCGCGTGGACACTAMAAACCATGAAAAATTTGCTAAGTCTACTGATGTATGCGAATTCCTTTGTTTCGTATTGCCCAATCGACATTATTTAGTGTTGTTGAGAACTATTGGTTAGTGTTTTTTCATGTTTTTTGTGTTTTGCACTAGTAAAATATGTAGCATTGTATGACCAGTTACTCATTCACAGCTTGGAAAAATTACATCTGTTTAAGCACACCTTATTTAAATGGTGCGAATTAAGAATTTTAGCAAAGTATATTAAATACTCGATTTTTGTTAGACAGCGTACATACAGCTGATTGCAAAAMGGTTGTCATAATACGAATAAAAAATTTTAGCAAAGTGCATTATACAAATACTCGATTTTTATTAGACAGTGTAGACAGCACACAGCACAGCTGATAGCAAAAAAAAAACGTCCTGTGAATTAGAGATTGAAAAATTTCACCAATGAAAAAATCACGCAAAGATAATTCTTTTGAGAATTAGGAAGTTCTTCTTCAGTAGCATTATGAGGTAGAATGAGATTTATGAGCCGTTGATTTTAGTGTACGGCCCTCAACTCTMACTCTTCTTTTGAATTTTACTTCAATTTCTAAAACGCTATTATCTTTTTTTTTTAAGATCACTTTCTTGGGCAACGATTTGAAATTAAGAGAAAATGATAAAAAGATRTTTTTGTYWTTTTTTAGGCACCATAATGGTGTTCTTAAAAGGACTCGTCCTCGTCGTAACGGTTCTTGTCGACGCAACCTACAGCAGTCGTATGTATCACCATATTCCACCATCACTTCCTCCTACGGTAACACATGCTAAAGCTGTAAGCGATAATCAACCTGTTGGTAAGCCTACTTATTAACTATTATAACTAATTGCATGAGTTAAGGAATTCTCAAAAATACTGTTAAGGTTAACTCGTGCAATTTCTTAGGTGATTCTTAAGGTTAACTCGTGGATAATAATTCCTTCGGGTATCCTTTCGTTTTAAAAAACGTTATAGCGGGTAGAATAAGTGGGAAATTTCGTAAATTGTTCCATTAATTACCTCTTTTAATCATTCCGTACTTATAAAACTTTTAGATAACACCTGCCTTATTGAAGTCTATAACGCTATAAAAAACCCTATTGCTAAAGGCCGATTTAGACGACACRAGGTTTGCCTACAACTATCGCATGCAACCTGCATAAGTCATCCTTACAACATRGCTACAACTGTCGTGGGGCTATTAAGCAATTGTTTTAAATGTCTACTACAGTTGTAGCCATGTTGTTAGGATGACTTGCGCATGTTGATGGCAGTAAGCAAAAGTTGTGCCGTTTAATTCGTCCTTAAGAGCTGTTGTTGTGTTTGAAAACATTGGTGTTATAATGAAACGCAGGCCACCTGCTACAAATAGCGCACGTTTGATTAACAACTCTATAATTCCACTGTTATATACTCAGTTAATCCGACAACAATTTTGAAAATTATTGATGTCATTAAATTGGTGGGGAAGTTTGAATAGATTCTAAAAAAGAACTAAAATTGTCTAGCAATCCAATGTCAAGGTTAATACCCAGATAATGCGACCACTTTTAGGTGTTTCTTCGACGGACGGATTAACAAGGTTTTACAGTTGCTTATCATTTTATTTCTCATATCGTTTCTTAGAAACTTGTAACGAGCCGCTTGGAATGATGAGCGGTAAAATACGATCAGATCAGCTTCGTGGGGGTTCCATGTACAGTARACAACATACTTTTACAAATGCTCGACTCAACAAAACARCGTTTCCTCCCGGATTCCTAAGTCAAGACAACTCGTGCCCTGACCCTACCAACTCCCTCAACTACTTCTTAGTAGAATTTGACCAGAAAACCGTTGTAACCGGTATTGCGACACAAGGGTATGGCGATAAGAACATGGCTTCTTGGGTAGAAACGTATTCTCTGATGGGGTCCGTCGATTTGCTCGAAACCTTTATCTATAAGCCCGTCAAAGTAAGTTTTTTCCCAAAAAATTATTTTTCTAGAATATCCTTAGTCTCAAAAACTGGCTTCAGCACAATTAGCGTCTGCGTAGGAGTCCACCCTACATGCATCAGGAGTTTCGGCGAACAATGCGTCCGCCATCTTGAAAAGTGAATCACTATGTAAATCACTATGTTGTACCTTAGAATACATTTCCGTTGTTACTAAGTCAACTAATCTATCATTAAAGTATCATATTAACTTGACATTAGCCGAGAAGCTTTTATTTCTGTAGGAGTTATAATTAGTGATTCGAGTCCCACTTCATTTCAAGATGGCGGACGCATTGTTCTCTGTGTTAGATATTGATACCAGTATTTTTAAAGCAATTTTAAAACAGTCGATAGTGTTTTGGTGCCCTATTTATTCAAAACTGACTGGTTGAGTCTTAGCGTCTATCTAAAGTAAAGTAGCATCAAAATGTTTTTTTCGATAAAAAATTAGTACTTTTTTCAGTGACTACTCTTTACTTTTTAGCAAAAGTTAAATTGTAACCCTTTTTTTACTTTATTGATTGTCTGATTGTTTGTTTTTAGTTCAAAGGGAACAGCGATCCCGATACTATCGTTTATAACAGAATCAAAGAACCCAAAGAAGTCAAATCRATCTTCATTATTCCCAATGAGTGTAGTGGCGGTAAAACCGGCTTACGAGTCGAATTTTATGGATGCGTAATACGTAAGTAATTGCCCRGATGTGCGGACGCGTCGCAGTTTAGCAAAAAAAAATGGCGGGAATCTTTCCGTGTTTTGATGCGGTCGGCTCTCGTGAGGATTTCTTACTGATTAGTGACTACCTGGTGTTGTTTCCAGGTTATTAAGCAACTGACATCAGAATTAATCATGATAAAAACATTGATGGAGTAAATTATATCTACACTATCACGTCTCGATGTTTTGATAGTGTTACAGCAGCGTAAAAGACGAGTAATAATGTATTTTTTTTTCACTATTCTTTTTCAGAAAAGACCTACATTTTGTGGGTTCGACGCTTAATTCAAAAATTTGATATAAACTTGTTTGAAACAAAAAGTTTCGAGTTTAAAGAACTAGAAAAGGACATCAAGTTGAAGGTCAGGAAACTCAATAATCAATATTTTCATTCTTTAGGTCACCTTAGCCCATCTATGGGTATTTATTTCTATAATCATTATTTTCGAGGAGAAATATGGTTTTAACTGCTTTGTCATTGTCGCCAAATCTCATTGAATTATCCCATTATACTTCCAGTTTGTTGTCAGAGAGTCATTTTGGTTTTTTGACACTGATTGATAAAGAACAGTAAAATCGTAGTTCTCCAAGATTAATGATTGCATACAATACCATACACCTAATTGAAAAAACGTAGTCGTGTTCGAAAAGGTCACATCATAGAAGCTAAGACCGAAAGGTATTTTGAGTACCACCAAATTGGGATTTGCAGATTTGTACATTTGCATGTACGGTGTACACTAAGCAAGTAGAGCTAGTAAGATTAACAGCATGMTAGTCTTTTATGCTGGAGAGCTGTTTGTTATGAGATTAGCCAAATTGTTTGTCTTCCCAAGCACCCTTTCGGTCTTAGCCTCTATGATTTGACCTTTTTGGACCCGACAACGTTTCTTCAATCAGGTGTATATCGCATTATACATTGATACAATGAACCATTTCGTCTTCTATAAACTACACATATATTATACAATAACACTACCTTTTCTTTTTACTTCTGCACAAGCCACAATTGTCTCCATTTTACGCCCTTTCCATCAAAATTCCCCCTTAAGAAGCTGAAAAGCAATGTAGATACYTCAAAACCGTGAAACAGAAACTAAATTGATTTATTACCCTCTAATTTCTTTTGAAAGTTCTTAGAAAAGTTTATCCCGAGATTACTATCAAACTCTAGATGAAGCTACTCAAGTTCAGATGGAAGGAGTCAATAGATTTACGGTGAAACCCCACCTTACGGTCACTGACCCCTTCAATACGTCCAAGYTTTAGGTCACAGCGATCTCATACTTTTCTACCAGGTTAAAACGACCACCCCCTTAAAACGACCAGGGTTTTTTTTTGGTGACCGGATTAACGAGGTTTCACTGTTTGTCAGAAGATGATCAAAATTTTTTGAAAGAGAAATGGTTGAGAACCTTTATCAACGACGATTAATCGTATATGCATGCATCGTGACCTGAACTAATTCGACGTTTCTTTAGCACTATGACCAATATTCTCTACTTGCATGTATTGGAAAATATTGGTGCACAAAACAAATAAATGTTTTTATGTRTTTTACGTTTTTAAATGAAACGGTAAGATTGAAATGAAATGGTATAATGCTATCATAGGCTCTTAATCAACTCTTTTAACCACTAAAATTGTAGCATTATCCATTTATTTTTACTTGCCGTTTCATAATATGTAATAATATTGATTAATGCATCATAACTCTGTACATAACATCTAATATGCATGCCTTCGTAATTATAAAATGTATCAACTTTTTTTAAACATCTTCATAACATTTCCTTCATTCTCGTAACACGTCATGCATGGGACAACTTCTAATCAATAACTATAACATTTCCATTACCCTAACTCTTGTATTCCAGGTCGAACGATTGATCTCAAGTCATAAAGGCTTCCTATTTGTCAATGTATTGCGCATAAGGTACGAGTAATRCATCTTATCCTAACGTTACACGTCGATTCTTGCAGCTGCCAGCAGAAATGTCGAATTTTTTATTTGTGAATGTCCGTGGATACAGGTAATTACAAACAAGAACATATCAAACTTTTCCCACATAAGTTTTGGACTATTTCGTTCCCGTTACCGCAACACCTAACTTGCGAAGTCTTCTTTTGAATAACCCTGTCGCTTTTTGGCATAAGGTACCTCTGCGCCGCTTTGAAAGGTAGCCAGACCTTGACATTGAAGCGAGACAACAATCTAACGWGCAACGGTTGATGCCTCTTTCACACCTACAGATACCTTACAGGYATCTATCATTGCACGCTCAACGGTTGTCGCGCTTTAATGAAAAGGCAGGGTTACCTTTTAAGATGACGCAGGTAGACGTGAAGATGTCATAAATGAACTTCGTTACCACGAGGAACCCAGAGAATTATACTCGATCCCAGCGAAGAATAAGGCTGGCACTATGACAATAGGCCACGTGGAGCAGTCTCTTAGACTGTGCAGTTAATAAACAGCCATATATATATAAGGAAAACAGGCGTACCATTAGAGGAAAGCGTAAATCTATGGTTATAATTAGAAGACGAACATTTGAGCTGCTTTTGTCAACCCCAAATTGTCAAAGGACAATGTCTAACGCTTTTTTATAACGTGAACTCCAGAAAACTTTCTCTATGACATATTTTCAAGATTAAATWTAGTTCTTTTGGCAGTTTCCCTCAAAATCATATACCATATATTCTATATTAGCCCAGGAAGCGTTATCGTCCACCTTGAGGTTGGAGCAGTAGAAGCCGAGGCTGAGAGTTTGCTCGAAACAGCAAGAACAGCACTTCAAAATGCCTCTCTTGGGCTAGACCCTTCCTTCTTCTTCGTTCAAGATCCTCAAGGTACAAGGGCACAGAGAGAAAGTTTCATGACAAAAAACAACATATTAATTGCTGTATTTTTCGCATTTTTAGGCACAAAAGACTGTAAACCTCCAACAATACGACTAAACCTACCAAAAGACGAAAACCGTCCAGCAGTAGCAACGAGATCACAGCACTTTACAGTCAAATCAACGATTGACGTTCAACTAGCAGCAAGCTGYAAAATTAACACAACTCTGACATGGAAGTGGTCTTTGTCAAGACTTCCGGAAGGCGAAAAGTTCTTTGAACCAAGACATGTCSTAGTTCAAAATGCAGGAAAAAATACATTGGAATTACCAAAACACACGCTGCAATATGGGACATATTATATTGAAGAACATGTTGGACTCTCCGACTCCAGATTCTTTAACTATCAATACGGCTTTTTAAAGATCGTAAGAACTCCACTTCAGGGGTACATTTACGGACCAGCAGTTGTTGCAAAAGGATACAGTGAAAGCATAACAATAAACGTGTCTTCGTCTCTTGATCCTGACTTTCCACAAAATGGCACCAAGGGTATGACTTTCCAATGGTCGTGCGTCAAGGTCGAACGAGACCMTTCCAAGAAACTGGTCGGATGCTTTGGAACAAGTCAAATAAAGCTCATAACACAGAAGGGACCAGTGTTGAAATTATCAGTGAATAAGATGGCTCCTCAATATGAATAYAACATCACTGTTGTCATTAAGAAAGACACAAGGACCACGACGTTGAGTCATGTTGTAAAGGTTGATCAAGTTGCAACAATGGCCGTTAAAATCAAGTAAGTGCAC